TCTCACAAGAATGGTCCTGCCCAGCGGAAAGCGCCTCCACTTCAGCGAGCAAGTTGCATTCCACATGGACATTGGAAGTCGATGAAGTCGGTCTCTGTCTTCTCATCCAAGATGACTCAAAAGGAGGAGGGGAAGGCTCAGAAAGAGGGTCTTACTAAGCAAGAGGGTAGCGGGCAAAACAGGGCTTTTCTTTCACTCCAGTTGGCTGATGGGAGTGCGAAGAAGAGCGCTTGCTCTCCTTTCCCTCCATTTGGACAGTGAGTTCTCCTTCCGCTTTGCAATCGGTGGAGGTTGTACATGGGTAGCCTGAGCACCGATCCTGATTGACGAATGCTTTCTTGCTGCTCCCCCTATTATATAACCGTGTTGATCTACCACGCTGCTTTGAACGTCCCTGAATAAGCGCATCCTTTGCTGCCATAGAGCGAAAGACAAGGGCACAGAACACTGGAAGAGATGGCTAAGCTCAAACTCCAAAGGAAGCAAATCAAAGAGAAAGGGAGGAAGAATGCAAGCAACGGATATAAGCGTCCTAGCGTAGCGCGAAAGGACTGTACGCGCATAAGGACTATATTGGGCGGTGAGAGAGACTCTCGACCCAAAATGAAGACTTTTGTTTCTCTAACTCAAAGCGGCATACCGCGTTTCATCCCTCCCCACTATAGAAAGATAATACGGAGAGGTGATGACCCGAGAGTCATTCGCGTAGTGCTGTCTATTTGCGCACTTTCACGTCTGATTAAGGTCGTTCCGAAACGGGGGATGAGGGTAAACCCCTCAACCATCCACATTCCAAACTTCCAACTCGGGGAGCAAGCTCAGAAGCTCTGTGTTAAGCTACTAACATCGGGTTTCTCGATGCTCAGCGCTTATGCACCAGCTTATAGGAAGATCCCGTTGAGCATTACTACAGTGGTTTTCCTTTAAGCCTACGTTCACTTCTGGTCCGAATACTTACAAAGACTACCGCAAGGAGTCTTGTGTTAAGTTAAGGGACGGGAAGCCCCTAGTAGAGAAATGGCGGAAGTTTCAAATGACTATCTACCATTCTCTACCAGTGGACGCCTCAGCTTTACTCACTTTGTTTAAACCTGAGGATCTAGCCGCTTACTTGGCAAAGGCTCGCTTTGGTTCTCTGACCGGGAAATCATTCCTGATTCCGGTTATGATAATCCTGTCGAGCCGATTAAGGAAGGAACAGACGGCTTTGGTTGGTTTATTCAAGCTTTACTACCACCGGCGCAAGCGTTGTGGTGGGATACTATGATAACCCGACCTGAAGCTGGACGCTTTGGGCGTAAACTTGAGGGGAGCGGTAAGATCCGGCTGTTCGCTATTGCGAATCCAATCTTCCAGGCGCTGTTAAGGCCCCTGCACGATTGGGTGATGAAAGTCCTTTCCACTATTAGGATGGACGGTACTTTCAACCAGCTGGCACCGCTGCACCGCCTTAAGGGTAGGAGGGAGTTATACTCCTTCGACCTTAAGTCGGCGCAGGTAGAGGAGGGCCTCTTACCTGTTGACCTCTCTGGATCTCTGTTGGCGAGTCTTTTCGGTGACTCCTTGGCCATGTATTTGAGTGGGGCATGGTGCTTTCTTATGACCATGGTGGGCTTTCGGAGTCCGGATAGACTCCCTTCACGTTTGAAGGCGAGAGTTTATCGGTTTACTCGAGGCCCTTTATTCCCTGCTCTCGGTTACTACTCATCATGGCCGGTATTCACCCTAACGCATCATGCTTTAGTGTGGCTAGCGGCTTATGAAGTGTATCCAGGGCAGAGATTCGAGGATTATGCCATCCTCGGCGATGATATAGTTATCGCCGATAAGAAGGTGGCCCTTGAGTATCAGAGGATCATGGAGGAAGCACAGGGGGTTATTTCGAAAGAGAAATCCCTTGTGTCCTCTAAGGGGGCCTGCGAATTCGCAAAGCGCTTTATTATTACCACAGGGCAGATAGGACAGATTGTAGTCCTGTTTCCCTGTCGTGTATTAAAATATGTTCTGGTTTCGTAAGTTCCTTCGTCTTTCAGCAGTTGGGAGTTCATTTACTTAATTCCTTCCGACTGAGAGCCTTATAGTTCATGGGTTACCGTGTCTTCTCCAAGGTGAGGGTGGGAGTGAATTGTTCATTTTTCGATTCACTCTCCCCCCGCTGGAAAAGACATTGGTTAACTTTGTACTCAGGGTCCGGCATATGCCCACTCCCTTTTAAGTTATGGTTAGCGTTTCCCGAAAGGGGAATTCTGACTTGTTATGAAGAAGGTGCAGTTCGGGCTTTTATCCTAGAACGGGTTGCTCCTCGGGATCTGGACGAAGAGTCCTTTTCCCAGTTGCGCCTATTCTGGATAAATGATGAAGAAATGATGTTGGAGAGACTTTTACAGTCTTATCTCAAACTCCATCTTGAATATCTTCATTGGTATGCCAAGGTAATCCTTGACTTTTCTATTTCTTTGGAAGATCTAATGAAGCCCCCCATCGCACCTCGGCGCATCGTCCGAGTATCCGATGAGTCCACCCTGAAAAGGTATGGGCTCGCGTTCAAAGCATGGGACTTTGTCCGTAATCTAAAACCAATCTTGGCTTTAGATGCGGGCCCCACTAGAGGTTTTATACTCTTGTGAGGTTTGGATTCTTCAAAGCAAGTTTGACTACTTGAAGGCACCTTAAGCAAGTGCTTAAAGCTACCAAAACATAAGGACTATATAGAAATATGAAAGTGGAATGAAAGTAGTCTACACTACGCCTTCAAAGGGGCCATGGCGCATTTATTGACCCTATGGATTCCAGGAACCACTAAAGTTTCGTTTGTTTTTTTGACTAGACTCAATCAATCGAGAGCTAGCATTAGAGAAAGCAGTAGAGAATCAAAGACTTCGCACTGAGAGCTAGGGGCGGGCTAAGCGGAAATCCTCTTTCTCTTGAATTTACAGAAAGCAAAAAGGCCTTTTTCGAGACAAAAGAGGCTTACGTATCTTCTTCCCTTATCAGAACGCTTTGACCGTTTGCCATAGTTACAGAGATTCCAGATTCGCGGGAATACATATAAATCATTTCTTTGTGGACAGAAAGGAAAGATGACGACTCTTTCCGATAGATAACCAAAGAGCGGACAGGAGCAAGCCAGAGACCTATTCCATATGAGCTAGCTAGCCAATGAGATGAGCTACCCATTGAGGGAGCTTAAACCGATGTCCCTATGTGCCAGCCGTTACCTTCCTTTCAGATAGGTCCTTCCTTGCGTACTATACTTCACTTATGGAATTCCAGTTTCAATAAACGGCGGCAGCATTTGAAGAGACCTATCGTGACCCTAAAGACCCCGTAAACTCGCGATTTAGCAAATAAAAAGGGCCATGAAGAACGTTTTCTATAAACCGAGATAAGAGATAAGCGGGATGAGCTAAGCTAAACAGAAAATCGATTCGCTAAACAGAGGATCCCTACTTGATACGAAACAGAACAGGAACTTCACTCATACTGAATTCAATCGATGCAGCAAGAGCGGGATGAGTGCCAACTACAACTACTAATATGGAAGCCCCTTTCTTGCTCCTGCAACTCTCGAACTAGAGGAAGGAAAGCGCTATACCCACCCACGGAAGAAGCGAGGACGGGAATCTTGTACTGATTAAGCAGAAAGACCGATATAACCGCTGGGGGATTACGGACTCTTGCTGCCTATAAGGAAAGAGAGAGAGATTGGGTCATAATGACCCAATCTCTCTCTCTTTCCTTATAGGCAGCAAGAGTCCGTAATCCCCCAGCGGTTATATCGGTCTTTCTGCTTAATCAGTACAAGATTCCCGTCCTCGCTTCTTCCGTGGGTGGGTATAGCGCTTTCCTTCCTCTAGTTCGAGAGTTGCAGGAGCAAGAAAGGGGCTTCCATATTAGTAGTTGTAGTTGGCACTCATCCCGCTCTTGCTGCATCGATTGAATTCAGTATGAGTGAAGTTCCTGTTCTGTTTCGTATCAAGTAGGGATCCTCTGTTTAGCGAATCGATTTTCTGTTTAGCTTAGCTCATCCCGCTTATCTCTTATCTCGGTTTATAGAAAACGTTCTTCATGGCCCTTTTTATTTGCTAAATCGCGAGTTTACGGGGTCTTTAGGGTCACGATAGGTCTCTTCAAATGCTGCCGCCGTTTATTGAAACTGGAATTCCATAAGTGAAGTATAGTACGCAAGGAAGGACCTATCTGAAAGGAAGGTAACGGCTGGCACATAGGGACATCGGTTTAAGCTCCCTCAATGGGTAGCTCATCTCATTGGCTAGCTAGCTCATATGGAATAGGTCTCTGGCTTGCTCCTGTCCGCTCTTTGGTTATCTATCGGAAAGAGTCGTCATCTTTCCTTTCTGTCCACAAAGAAATGATTTATATGTATTCCCGCGAATCTGGAATCTCTGTAACTATGGCAAACGGTCAAAGCGTTCTGATAAGGGAAGAAGATACGTAAGCCTCTTTTGTCTCGAAAAAGGCCTTTTTGCTTTCTGTAAATTCAAGAGAAAGAGGATTTCCGCTTAGCCCGCCCCTAGCTCTCAGTGCGAAGTCTTTGATTCTCTACTGCTTTCTCTAATGCTAGCTCTCGATTGATTGAGTCTAGTCAAAAAAACAAACGAAACTTTAGTGGTTCCTGGAATCCATAGGGTCAATAAATGCGCCATGGCCCCTTTGAAGGCGTAGTGTAGACTACTTTCATTCCACTTTCATATTTCTATATAGTCCTTATGTTTTGGTAGCTTTAAGCACTTGCTTAAGGTGCCTTCAAGTAGTCAAACTTGCTTTGAAGAATCCAAACCTCACAAGAGTATAAAACCTCTAGTGGGGCCCGCATCTAAAGCCAAGATTGGTTTTAGATTACGGACAAAGTCCCATGCTTTGAACGCGAGCCCATACCTTTTCAGGGTGGACTCATCGGATACTCGGACGATGCGCCGAGGTGCGATGGGGGGCTTCATTAGATCTTCCAAAGAAATAGAAAAGTCAAGGATTACCTTGGCATACCAATGAAGATATTCAAGATGGAGTTTGAGATAAGACTGTAAAAGTCTCTCCAACATCATTTCTTCATCATTTATCCAGAATAGGCGCAACTGGGAAAAGGACTCTTCGTCCAGATCCCGAGGAGCAACCCGTTCTAGGATAAAAGCCCGAACTGCACCTTCTTCATAACAAGTCAGAATTCCCCTTTCGGGAAACGCTAACCATAACTTAAAAGGGAGTGGGCATATGCCGGACCCTGAGTACAAAGTTAACCAATGTCTTTTCCAGCGGGGGGAGAGTGAATCGAAAAATGAACAATTCACTCCCACCCTCACCTTGGAGAAGACACGGTAACCCATGAACTATAAGGCTCTCAGTCGGAAGGAATTAAGTAAATGAACTCCCAACTGCTGAAAGACGAAGGAACTTACGAAACCAGAACATATTTTAATACACGACAGGGAAACAGGACTACAATCTGTCCTATCTGCCCTGTGGTAATAATAAAGCGCTTTGCGAATTCGCAGGCCCCCTTAGAGGACACAAGGGATTTCTCTTTCGAAATAACCCCCTGTGCTTCCTCCATGATCCTCTGATACTCAAGGGCCACCTTCTTATCGGCGATAACTATATCATCGCCGAGGATGGCATAATCCTCGAATCTCTGCCCTGGATACACTTCATAAGCCGCTAGCCACACTAAAGCATGATGCGTTAGGGTGAATACCGGCCATGATGAGTAGTAACCGAGAGCAGGGAATAAAGGGCCTCGAGTAAACCGATAAACTCTCGCCTTCAAACGTGAAGGGAGTCTATCCGGACTCCGAAAGCCCACCATGGTCATAAGAAAGCACCATGCCCCACTCAAATACATGGCCAAGGAGTCACCGAAAAGACTCGCCAACAGAGATCCAGAGAGGTCAACAGGTAAGAGGCCCTCCTCTACCTGCGCCGACTTAAGGTCGAAGGAGTATAACTCCCTCCTACCCTTAAGGCGGTGCAGCGGTGCCAGCTGGTTGAAAGTACCGTCCATCCTAATAGTGGAAAGGACTTTCATCACCCAATCGTGCAGGGGCCTTAACAGCGCCTGGAAGATTGGATTCGCAATAGCGAACAGCCGGATCTTACCGCTCCCCTCAAGTTTACGCCCAAAGCGTCCAGCTTCAGGTCGGGTTATCATAGTATCCCACCACAACGCTTGCGCCGGTGGTAGTAAAGCTTGAATAAACCAACCAAAGCCGTCTGTTCCTTCCTTAATCGGCTCGACAGGATTATCATAACCGGAATCAGGAATGATTTCCCGGTCAGAGAACCAAAGCGAGCCTTTGCCAAGTAAGCGGCTAGATCCTCAGGTTTAAACAAAGTGAGTAAAGCTGAGGCGTCCACTGGTAGAGAATGGTAGATAGTCATTTGAAACTTCCGCCATTTCTCTACTAGGGGCTTCCCGTCCCTTAACTTAACACAAGACTCCTTGCGGTAGTCTTTGTAAGTATTCGGACCAGAAGTGAACGTAGGCTTAAAGGAAAACCACTGTAGTAATGCTCAACGGGATCTTCCTATAAGCTGGTGCATAAGCGCTGAGCATCGAGAAACCCGATGTTAGTAGCTTAACACAGAGCTTCTGAGCTTGCTCCCCGAGTTGGAAGTTTGGAATGTGGATGGTTGAGGGGTTTACCCTCATCCCCCGTTTCGGAACGACCTTAATCAGACGTGAAAGTGCGCAAATAGACAGCACTACGCGAATGACTCTCGGGTCATCACCTCTCCGTATTATCTTTCTATAGTGGGGAGGGATGAAACGCGGTATGCCGCTTTGAGTTAGAGAAACAAAAGTCTTCATTTTGGGTCGAGAGTCTCTCTCACCGCCCAATATAGTCCTTATGCGCGTACAGTCCTTTCGCGCTACGCTAGGACGCTTATATCCGTTGCTTGCATTCTTCCTCCCTTTCTCTTTGATTTGCTTCCTTTGGAGTTTGAGCTTAGCCATCTCTTCCAGTGTTCTGTGCCCTTGTCTTTCGCTCTATGGCAGCAAAGGATGCGCTTATTCAGGGACGTTCAAAGCAGCGTGGTAGATCAACACGGTTATATAATAGGGGGAGCAGCAAGAAAGCATTCGTCAATCAGGATCGGTGCTCAGGCTACCCATGTACAACCTCCACCGATTGCAAAGCGGAAGGAGAACTCACTGTCCAAATGGAGGGAAAGGAGAGCAAGCGCTCTTCTTCGCACTCCCATCAGCCAACTGGAGTGAAAGAAAAGCCCTGTTTTGCCCGCTACCCTCTTGCTTAGTAAGACCCTCTTTCTGAGCCTTCCCCTCCTCCTTTTGAGTCATCTTGGATGAGAAGACAGAGACCGACTTCATCGACTTCCAATGTCCATGTGGAATGCAACTTGCTCGCTGAAGTGGAGGCGCTTTCCGCTGGGGCAGAC